TAATAATTTAGGGGATTTTAAAGTATTTTAGGGGGTCTCCAGCCCCCCTAAAATAGGCCTAGTGACACCACTGCCTCTTTGAAACCTGCTGATAAAAGTTCTTTTCGTTCTGGATCTGTGCTCCCCACCAACCCAAACCCATCCTTACCTTGGAACTTGTAGCCCTCTATCTGCACCCAGAGGCAGAGGTCCTCCGTGTCGCAGTCGCACCTCCAGGGGTTCCCGCTGAGCCCCAGAGAGCGCAGCGCAGGCAGCGCGATCAGGCTGCTGATGTTCAGGCTGGTCAGGTTGTTCCGGCTCACATCCAGCACCTGCAGAGCCAGGTTCTCAGAAAAGGCGTCCGGGTGGATCTCCCCCAGGCTCGGGTTATCTGTCAGCCGGAGCATGACCAGAGACGCCAGGGGCCCGAAAGTCCGGTCCTCGATCTGCAGCAGGGTGTTGAAGGACAAGTCCAGGTAGGCGAGTTTGCGCAAATTCCCGAAAGTGGACTCGGAGATCTCCGTCAGAGAGTTGTTGCTACAGTCCAGGTAGACCAGGTCGGACAGGTAGTTGAGCTGCAGGGCCGGCAGGTCTCCGATCAGGTTGTTGGAGATGATGAGCTGCCGGGTCGCCAAGGGCAGGTCGTTGGGGAACCGGGTCAGGTCCTGGCCGGCGCACTGAACCACCAGCTGCTCGTCGCACACGCACCTGTAGGGGCAGCCGGCKGTGAGAGCCGGAGCCGGGGCCACCCCCATCACGAAGAGGAAGAAGAAGAGGAGCCGGAGAGACTCGGGCAGGAGACGCATGACGAAGCGGCCCGACGCGTCATGGACTCGGGCTGAGCTGGACCAGCGCTCCTCGACGCCCCCCGGGCATCCTGCATGGGTGTCAGGAGCTGAGACAGAGGACCAGTGATGCCTGCTCCGGAGGTCCTGCCTGCTGTTTATATCCAGCCTCGCTTTCTCTGAGAAAGACCGTTGGTCAGTCGATCACACGCACGATGGCGTGTCTCCACATGACATGTCTTTAGATCAGGGCTCTGCAACCGGTGGCTCTAGGACCACATGTGGCTCTTTGGTCCCTCTACAGTGGCTCTTTGAAAATGTGACCAAACATAACAGAATAATTTTTTTTGTTTTTATACTCACAACAGATATCAATTTGTAAGCAAATACGTGATCAATACAACTAAAGCAAAAAGTAAAACATGTTAGCTTATGCTAGCCTGTTG